CCTAGAGTAACTCACTTTGTCCAGAATCTATAGTATACATGATAACTTCAAGAGTCTGACCATGGACATGGTAGATTCCCAGACGTTTCGTTGGCATCGTCAGTGAGCCTTGCCAGTCTTAGCAACACACCACAACTCGTAAGAAAGTAGGGTTTCGAGACATCTCATTACACCACAACTCGTCAAAGATACAAGTGAAGTCGATCATATGACCAATTGTCTACTAACCAGTTGTGGTATCTCTCCTGTCTTGGGCTATTCACCAATCCCATATCCCCTTCAATATCACAATTTCTTATTTGTTTATCTAAATATATTCGAAACTCACTCACACTCGCCGTTGGTTTCCACATCCTCCACTGTCCGAGAGCGTTGATCCAAGGCTGAGGTTTCCGCAATCCTCTCCCTTCGAGTCCTATCATTCCCTCCCTTCCTTCCCTTTTCTGCCTGTTTCCGTGATTTCACTCCATCGCTGCCACCGTATCCGTGCTACTCAAGACGTTGTGATCTACATTCTGTCTCTAGCCTTTGATAAAATTTATGCACCATCCTCACTGATCAAGTCCCTAAAGTCTGGATTCTCTCTCTCTTCTATCCCTAATGCCAAGTCTATGACTTTCTTATGCCAAATAATTTGCTTGCCGACCTCCAAATATGATTGTTCTATTTGGTTTGAATAGTAAACGACAGACTCTTGGACACCTCGAAGAATTCATATTAATTTTCTTAATGGATCCAAAATATTGGACTGGCAGGGTCGGAAATATTGGTACGTTTTGACGTACAATCAAGGTACACAAACATCTCAGTCTAAAAGGAAGTCACCGTTCTGCTGGAGGTCTTGGAAGGAGAGGGGGATAACCTGGAAGGAAAGCGGATATGGAAGGAGTCGTTAACACGACCGATCAACTTGACAATAAGTAGCACATATTTTACATTCAACGGCAATAACTATGAGCAAATATTTGGACTAATGTTGGGATCTCCACTCTCAGCTCTTCTGGCAAATGTATACATGCACAAGTTGGAAAGGGAATTCGAGAAGTCACTACTGCAACCAAGAGTGTTTAAGTGATACCTGCATGACTACTTTGCACTTTGGTGGCATGGTAAGAAAAATTTTGATGAATTCCTCCAATTCACAAACTGACTTGATGAACGAAGTAAATTCACGATGGAGGTGAAGGAGCATTAACGACCACCATTTCTGAATGTTGAGGCCATTCGCTCCAACGGAATACTCAACAGGAAGCTATTCGGAAATAAATCACATGCGGGGATAATTCTCAATTTCCAGTCGCATCGCAAACGCAAACTGGAAAACGGAATAATGAGGAGTATGATCATCCGAAGCTTAAAATTAACGGATGCTGAGTTCTGGGACGGTTACCCCAGAGCATTGATAGAAGGGAATATAAGGGTTCATAAGGAGCAGATTTCAACTTGGATTTTATGAAAATCTGACCAGGAGTCAGGCGGCCAACCAAAAGTGGATATGCCTGGCTTCAAGTGAACTGAGTCAACAATTGGAGCTTTACTAAGAAAATTGAATATCCGCATGATAACGTTGCAGAAGACAACACTTTTCACCAGTCTGCCGATGCCGGTTGAGAAACTAGATTTCTCGGGGATCTATAGCATCAACTGCGACAACCGTGAGCAGAAGAATGTTGGTGAAACGGGAAGAAAAATCAGTCTACCAATCAAGGAACATCGAGGACTTCGTAAAAGCAAAGACATTGAAAGGTCTGAAATAGCGGAAAAAATCGCACGGACAGGACACGAAAGTGAGTGCAAATCGACAGAAGGGCTGGCTGGATATGGTGAAGATACAAGAAAACGCAAGAAACGGTGAGTTGTTGATATATTGACTGAAAGAAATCGAATAAACAAGAGAGAGATTAGCAAAATCTTTGCATACAACACAAGTAAACTCGGATATCATGGAACAGCAATATCAGCAAAAAGAAGACGATCAAGGATCAAGAAATGTGAAGTGATGTAAAATAGGTCCAGATAAACAAGTAATAAATTGTGATATTGAAGAGTTGATACGGGAATATATGATTGGTGAATCGCCCAGGACAGAAGGAGAGATATCACAACTGTTTAGCACACGTTTGCTCACAGGATCGGCTTCGCTTGTCTCTTTTGGCGATTCGTTGTGTAGTGCTAAGACTGGCGAGACTCACTGACGATGCCGACTACGAGGCCGGCGAAACGTCTGAGAATGTACCAAATCCACGGTCCGACTCTGGAAATTATCCTGCCTACTATGGATTTCGAACAAAGTGCATTGCTCTAGGTCTTCCAGTCGATATGATCAATTTGCGAAAACAATGTCAAACAGCCTCTATATAACGAAAGGACACTACAACCACAAAAAAGGCCACACCATCTCGGTTTTCATATCTTCGGGTAAACATCTTAATTCTATGAAAATAAATGACAAGGAGACCAGAGAGGAACAAACGGAAAACAAGAGAAACGTCTACATTGAGCTTATGTAAAGCAAGAAGAAGTATCACATTTTGCGGCCGACACGCAAGAGACTGGGGCATAAGAAGTAGTAGACTTGGCGTTAGGGGCAGAAGAGCGAAGGAAATGGTGGCGGCCATTTCTAGTTTGCCATTGGTAGACACGTTTGCTCATAGACGTGGTCCACGAAGTAAAGGTTTGACCACGAGATTTACTCGGTGTGCATGCCGCACAGCGTCAAGTTAGGTTGTCAGGCCAATTGAGAATGCAGACTTTTGGGCCCTGCTCAGTGGGGCCGGTGTATACGGGCTATGAACGGCTTGAGACAGAGTGTAGAACATAGCGTCTTAAGTAGCACGGACAGGGTGGCAGCGATGGAGTAAAATCCCTGAAACACACAAATGAGGGAAGGATCCTACGGAGCAAGAGGTAGGACCCGAAGGGAGAGGATTGCGGATTCAACGGCAGCCTTGGATCAACACTCCCGGCCAGTGTGGAGGGTGTGGAAACCAGCGGGGAGTGTGAATATGTTTCAAATGTGTTTAGACAAACAAATAAGCAATTGTGATATTGACGGGGTGACATGAGGATGTGGGAGAGGTGAATAGCCCAGGACAGAAGGGGAGGTACCACAATTGGTCCCTTTGACGAGTTGAAGTGTGGTGC